ACATAAACCATGGAAAACAGTCCATGAAAACTACCAATGAACTAGTTCAAACACTACTGTATATGATTAATATATAATTTCATGAAGTTAGAAGTGAATCATAATTTAATCTGCTGTATGTCTAATTAGATAATGGCAAAATTGAAACATATTTCTGGTGGTTACAAAATGATGAACCGTTACTAAAAACTACTGTAATGGCCGAATGTATAAAGCAGCATTTATCCACTGATATAGTTACCTCTGGATCTATGAAATGTTCGTGCCTTGTTTCGTGATCCACAACTCTGACAACTGCCAGCACGGTATCCCATGTGTGAACCATCATGTCCCAGGAATATCCATACAGACCGCTAGTCCAGTTGTTGTATCCCTGTCATGAATAATAGCCGTTATGTAAAGCATTATGACAGCACTCATGAAGTCAGGCTGTGTATTCAGTAACCTTGCTCAGTACATGAGCTTATACAACCAGTTACTCTGAAATACATGTCTGTTTATGCACGTTTGTCTATAAGGAATAAATTATATTTTGTTCCTCCTAAAACATGTCCCATGTTAGCATCTAGAAGTCATTATGAATATTTCTGTCTTCTGGATTTTTGTTCTGTGTAGTCTGGTAGAAGTTTACTGACGTTTCAGATGTCCTTGCTTTCTCCATCATCAGGGTGATATTGATGGAGGCGGCAAGGACCTCTGAAACATCGGACAACTTCTACCAGATTACACGGTGCAACAACCTAGAAGACAGCCATTTTCAACAAATTCTCTGGTACATACTTTACTATGAGCTAGCTTAATCCATTCTGCTTGAGCAACACATATTTCCATGTTTTTGGGTACATGCAGAATAAATATTATTGTCTGCTTCTGGAAGCCAAACCTAAGACATTGACAATGAACAGTTTACTTTCATATACCATACGCCTATCATTAAAATGTTGTCAGTAAAAAGTAAGCCATTTGTATATTCAGAATTATTTCCTTCAAAGTCTATTTTAATATTAAACTATTATCCTTAGATGTTGTAATAGGTACATTATTCACTCTTAGTTGTATTGTCTGTCTGGATAAATGTGACTCAGGTTAAGGGCTAGTGGTTGGCTGTTGTGAACCGATAATGAACCTTTGCATTCTTTAAATGGCAGAGTTTCTTGACTAGCTGAGCAACTATTGGCTTTCAGGAGGGACTTTACTCCATGCAAGTAGCCAATTTATTTACTGTTTCTGTAAATAATCACTCATGTTATTAAGATCAAAATCTGTCATCTTTATATGAGTATTGTAACAATTCTTTTCTCTACAGCAACATATTAAATTAAGTTGTCATTTAAACAAATTCCCTTAATCAACAATGTTTAGTTTAGGCCAAGAGGTACAGTGTATTTAAATCTCTAGCTACTGTGACCATTTTCTTTCATATTTAACAACAGACCTCACTTAAAGATGATTAGGATTTATGATACCATGATACCTTGGTAATGAAGTGAGAGTATGGTAGAAAAGCTTGCAGGCCAATATGGCTGATGAGCAGGAACGCAACCAGGTTGTGCTTCCAGCCAATTTGTAATGTTTGGGTAGGAACTTCTTTAAATTTCTTAACCATTTGTTCTGTAATAGAAATAACAATATACAGAATAATTCCAGATGACTGTCTTCTGAGATCTTGCACTGTGTATCCTTGTGGAAACTGACTCCATCAGGGTGAAGGGTGAAATATAGGTCAATTTGTATGATGCTACTTTACACAGTCCCAGTTGTCTTCATACTTTCTGCCATAAGAACGTGAAATGTCAACGAGAATAATGCTAGCTAGTGAGGGAGTATTAGGAGTAAAGGAAATTTAGAGTAGGTGTTGAGTTCATGTGTCTCTCGTTAAGACCGAGCAGACCGTGAAATTTAACATTTAAAATCTGCGAATATCTCACTTATGTTGGAAAGGTTTCTGTGATGAAAAAAATTTTTATTAGCAGCAGCACTATTTGTTTCTTTGTTAAGTTTATGAACACTTCCAAAATAAAAAGCTGAAGAAGGAAGTCAGTATCAAATTTTAGCAGATACTTAGTATGAAATGTGTTCATTTCATTTTAAACTTACCAGTTGTACTACCCTCTGTAGGCAGTGGTGGAGTACATTTCTTATCTTGATTAGTATCCTTAACACTTGATCGTGATAGTGAGAATATTTTGAGTATTTTACGTGGCCAGTTTGTATCACAGAATATTGGCATTGTTACCAAGCAAACATAAGGGAACATTCCTGTAAACAAATAACATATACTTAAAAATTTTAACGTTTTATTTTTTATGAATAGTACATACGATTATGCATCTGAAACAAGAGGTCTGTAATTAGTTTTGGGACATCCAAAGGTTTGAAAAATCTTAAGAGAGAATAACAGTTTTTGAGATGAATATTTACAAGTATGATTATTAGAACTGTCATGAAGTGTGAACTTATCTTTACTGAATTTAATTTGGACAGATGAATAACATAAGAAACAAACTGATAAATGCCTTGTCATGTACTGCAAATGATTCTTGGACTAGGATACAAAAAGATAGATAAACTTTGCTCCTGATTAACTAATTACAGGTGATTGACAAACTCAGTTACACAAGATGACTGTCTTGTGGGTTGTAGCACTGTGTAGTCTGGTAGATGTGTTACCTCTATCATCAGGATCAGAGTGATGAGTAACTTACTCATTGCCCTGATGATGGTGGCAGCAAGGCCCTCTGAAACGCTGGTAAACTTCTTCCGGATTACATGGTGCTACAACCCAAAAGACAGAAAGAAATCTTCATACTCACCGCTGTGAAAACCTCAAATCATACTTTTTTAATTAATGTTGTATATATATGCAAATAGATAAAAATTAACTAGTATGTGAAGGTGTTAATGCCACAGCATAGACGTGCTGATTTAAATATAAAGCATGAGAACTTCATTAAATTTGTCATAAATAAATGTTTAACTTTTATTGCCCATGCATCATGGCTTGGGTGTGTTGCAGCTAACTACAAACTGCACTAGCATACCATCAAACCATTGACTGCCACAGTCTGTCCAGCAGCCCTAAAGTATGGAGTTTAAATTCCCTGTTCTTTGCATTTTAAGAATAATCACCATCTTATTAAACCTTGAGCTTAGTGGCATTAATAATCCCTGTCCAGAGCTTGATGAATTATTTTCTGCTGGGAATTTAATTTTGTCAGATTAAAGCAATAAAATCACAAGCTTTTAAAATTACCATGATGCTTTAATTTCAGTTTTAAGAGAAGAATAATTTTAAAGCCCATTTCCTACAACAAACCTCCTCCAGGTTTATCAGGGAATGTGTTACAGATGATAAGCTTAGCATCAGAGAATTCTGGCACCAGTTTAATATCAAAATGGTATTTGTTATATGTTTCCTGTTGTATCTGTATAGCCACTTCACTGTCTGCCTTGATGTTTATGTTAATTCATTGATATCTTTTCTAAATTGTAAATTAATAACTTATGCTACTCACCAATGGTAAATAGTTGTGAATTCATGGCATGAAACAAACCTAAAACACATAAAGCATATGGTCGTGTTTTGTTGTAAAGCAGGAAAAATCCAATACTGAAGTCAAGAGCAAAGCCATTTAAGTGAATTATCCAAAAATCCACCTGTTCTGATGTCAGTATAATTCTACAAAATGGAAAAATGTAAATAAAATGTTAGAAGTTATTCCAAGCATAATATTTAATAAATTATTATTTATCAGCATAGACTTGTAATGTCGTATTGTGAACCCGTTCTGTTATCTGTATTTAAACGGGTGCGTTGATAAAAATGTAATATTTTATTTTTCAGGAGAATAATTTAAGGAATTACCACAAACAGAGGTCAGAGAATGAAGCCCAAAATTAGTCAGATTTTTAAATCATATTACAGTAAGGAATTTTGTAAAGTCAGATTTGGAGGTGGAAAGTGTCAATGTTAGGTCTACATGAAAGTGTGTTATTTTCAGGGTACCTGAGGAATTTTGAGGAATCCTGTCTTATGGTACCATGAACATAACCACTAGTTATTAGTTAGGTAAGAGGCTATGTTGTCAGGGTATAACTGCATGATTTATAATCATATATAAGTATTTAAGAGTGATGGTAACAAATCAAAATTGCATCCAAAAGAACTGACCGCTGAATGTACAGATGGCATTATTTAATGGGTTACTTACTGAAATGGCTCAAATATCCAGTGATTACCGAGGTTTCGCATTGAATATCCTTGCAGCCAGTCTTTATCCAGCTTTTTCAATCCAGCAAAGAAATATAATACGAAAATCTGAAATCGTAGAATAAAGTAATTCCATAGCGGTACAGAGCTATTTCTTTTTACCTTCCCAATAAGAATATCAAGGGACCTGAAAATACATAATGAGAAACATAGCATATCATTGTCCAATACATCCACATTTCTTTAGTTAATTGAAACATTTTGTCACCCAAATCAAAGTGGGTGAACTGCGTGAACAGCTGATACAATGAAATCCTTTTTCTCTCAGTAATTACATACATCAATCAGCTGTGTATTAATGACATTCACCAAATTATAAAAATGTTTAGTTCAAAACTACATTTTATCTCTGAACATAAATACATACACACTTTACCATTTGAACTAAATTTCTAAGACCATTTATTTTTCCTGTTGAATTTTTGTAATGCATAAAATATTTGTCCACTCAACGAAACTGTTTCATTCACAACAGTGAAAGGGTTCATGAATTCTCATACATGCGTGAGGTAGGATGCAATTACTTACCCATATCGATTAGCTTGTGAGCCTAATAGCAATATCGATAATACTCCATATAAGTATGAATGGTTATTCCAGGATGATTTGTCCAATAAAAAGACATACCAGTAAGGAATTACAAATGCAAGGCAGCTTACATGGTAAAATAGTCCAAGCATGATGCCAAATGCTCCTACAAAGAAAATATACACTGCTATTAAACATTTGTTCAGCGTCTCTAATTATAAATTGTAAATATTACTGTCACTCTGTGAGATTTCAGGTTCTTATGGCAGCAAGTAAGATGATAATTTCTGGATTGTTGTGCTGTGTAGTCTTGTACCTATGTTTCAGAGGTACTTGCTGCTTTGTCCTGATGATGGAGGCAGCAAGCACTTCTGAAACATCATAAAACTAATATCAGACTACATGGCACAACAACCCAGAAGACAGTCATCTTCATACCGTCACTTTGAATGAAAGACTGTAGTGAGAAAGGCAACACTGTAATTAAAATAGAATTATGTTTTACATTCTATATGGTATAAGAATTTATTACAGTACTATCATCAAATTTTCATAATTTCTATATTTTAAATTACATTGCTATCAAAGGAATTCAGAGTAGAACATTCACGTGGAAGATGCTATTTAATATGACAAACGATACCTATCCACATTACGAGGTACACAATACACATCCACTGCAGGGGCAGAGGCTGAAGAAAATCAAACAAAGGAAATCGACACTCATCTGGATCTCCCCAGTTGATGTCTGCATCTGCCAAGCCTCTCTCTTCTGGAACATCTAAAATCATCATGAAACCTGAAAATGATACAAGAAAGACTTACAGGTTTTAAATAACACCAGAAGGAAGTTTTGATATATCATAATGAATGTACTGCCATCAGCATACTAAATTGCAGTGGAAATGTGCTTTTGATGAATGCACATTGCTCAACAGATCAACTGCTATAAAAATGAGTGCGTTAACTTTTCCAGCTGTTTGTACTTTGATATTTTTTACATTCACTGATTTTGTCATTTAATGACTCTGATTAATGTAAGTTGTTCAGATAATCTTTCTAGACTATAAAGTTATTTTTCTGTTTTATACCAGCAATATTGTTTACAGATTTCTTCTATCTGATTTTATTTTGTGGAATTTAACTAATACTTCAGAAATTACAGACATTCTTAGGGCTCTGTGAATAATCATCACTAATAACATTGTGTCATACATACCAAACATTATTCTTATTAAACCAAGAGATGCAGGATCCATTGGTCTGTACATAAATTGCACAAAACTCTCCCAGTTCTTTATATCAGCCAAGGAAAATTCAAATTCTTCTTTAAAATCATAACGTTTCATTATTTTTGCTTCGTCATTGTAGGTTTCCATATCACTTCTTGACTTAGAACTTTGTAAGTCATAATTCTCTTGCTCTTGACAAATGACAAGTTTTGGATTAGTTTTTGTTCTTTTTTTTCTTGCAGACATTATAAATTTACCACCTGGAAGATATGATTTACTGAAGATATAATCACATGAAACAATCCAAATATCCATTGCTGAACAAATTCTTATACTTAAAGAAGGCAGTACTATGTAAATAAAAGAACAAGGCCTTGTGGTGGGCTGATCACTCATCCAAGGAGTTCTACCAGATGTTTAAATAGATCAAGAAACCTTCGAAAGGAGGCACCTATGCTCCTCATAGGAGCGAAAAGGGTATAAAGAAGAAGAAAGCAAGAACAGAGTTTTCATTACCAACTTTACTGAAGACTACATAAAATTTGGACTGCATCATCTTTTTTCAGGGGTTACTGTATCATGGTTATAATCCCAAATTTTATGTGCCTGGTTGTACTAACTCCGCAGGTATCATAAAGAAATCTGAGAAATATCATACGATTGGCATAGTATTATTTCCTAATTAAGAAATTAGTTAAGCAAGTTATAAAAATACTCAAAATGCTGTATTAGTTGATTCTAATGCTGCTCTTAAAACTTGATAAAGGAAAGATCAGACGTAGCATACTTAATAAATTTCCCCTTATGTACCACACCATGAAACATAGGATGCAATGAGTTAAAATTCTTGCATTCTATACTTCAGAAATGTATGGAGATGAGTAGTTAGCTTCATGCTCCGGCCGGTTTTACTCGGAGAAAGGCTTCTGTTTTCCATTGGATCAAAGACTGGCTGGGCTCTGGTCCATGCCAGGTCAGCTCATAACGCATATAAAATCGTAATAGCTTCTTCCCGATACAGAAGATAAATGATGGTGGAATTGCTGACAAGGTTATAACCTTCATACCAAGTTGGACAGTTCGTTCAAAATACATTGCGGTAAGAAATGCGGTTTGTATCTGCATATGTAGGCCCAGGAGTGTTCTTGTATTTCATAAATTCAATTTTCATATGCATGAGCGTTGTAGTTGAGCCACTACACCCTAAGAGACTGCTCACAAAAGGAAAGTGTCAAATAGGTTCCAGGCTAAAATATACCCATTTACACTGAGGAACATGTCTTCCTGCAGCCAGAGCCCTGCCTGGCTTTTACGTTGTTGACAGCACATGCAGATCTACAGGTGGGTGGGAAGTATGTAGGCATTGAGAAATGGTTATAACCTCTATATTTCCGATGTATAGCGATTATTTAATGCATACTTACGTCCCACCCACCCTGTAGATGTCCGCACGGAACTCTGCACAGTCGTCATGTTAAGGTAAGCACAAAGTACTGAGGAGAATTTGAGGAAGTATCAGATAGTGGAGAGTCACATTATGAAAGTTTCATAATTTGACTATTCATTAACATATAATTAGGTTGATTAAATCAAGGATGGCGAAATGGGCGGGACATGTGCACGCTAGAGAAAGATCAGACGTGCACAAAATTTTAATCGAGAAATCTAAAGGAAAATGCCCTCTGTTATCGGTAGTAGTAACTGGTTTAACTTACCAAAATTCTAGTTAACCTTTTTGTTGTGGTTTTATGAGAGTATGTTGTACGTGCTTACATAGTATTTTTGTTGTGTTCCTAGATACATGGGGCAATTTCAGTCAGTGCATGATTGTTTATATTCTATTGCTTTCACAAATTTATTGTTTGAATAGCAAGGACTGTTTGGTAATTTCCATCGCTGGAATATTTTCCTCTGTGAACATGGTAATTTACTTAACCTAGGAATTTCATAAAAGCTGGAACTTTTTGGCCAGCTGAGGAACTCCATGGAGCTTGCTAGGATAATTTCTCAGTTTTTAATTTCCAAATATCCTGTTTTATTTTTGGCAAGTTAAATAAAAGGACTGGCGAGTCTTGGTTTTTTTATTACGATATTCCAGCTTCATACAATGTAGCGTACAACGATTGGATTTATCAATTGACTGGAGGTCAAAATGTGTTTCATTCAGTGTTATAGACATGAGCGAGATCATGACTTCATCTTTATCATATTTAGTTCATACAATGTGTAAATTTGGAGACGAGACTATACAAATATTAAAGTAAGTTTCGTGATTGGGGTTTTTATTTACGAAAAAATGTCAGTTTGCGGAATGTTGAGCATTTAGCCAACCTTGTGTTTTAACTGTATCGGAAATGGTATTTGGAAGAAATGTTATGAATACTCGCTTGCAAATAGCCAAAGTCAGCAAATTCTTATGCGTCACATATAGCTGTTACAAAAGTGGTAAGAAAAGTCACAAGAACATTCGCTATTAAAACTATGGTTGCATACGGCGAAGTACGTCATTGGCAACTTCAATGTTGGCATTAGTGATTGGGTAGCATAGTCGTGTCGTGATCCTTGCATGTAAACAGGTTTTAAGATGGCTGCTTGATACAAGTGTTATGAATTCATTGAGGAAGTGATTAAAAGTAAGTGGTTATGTAGATTATAGAAATTTAGAGTTAAAAGTGGAATTAAAAATACGATATCTGTGCACCAGCACATGGTAATTCATATAAGTAGTAGCAACTTGAAGATTTGCATCGCTACATACAGGTTAAGTGGTGGATTTGGCTGTTTCTGCTGCCATCTTCGGACCAAGTGCAGAACTGCATGAGTATATTTAAGGTCAACATCTGAGATGACAGCTGTCATTTACAGGTTTTAAATGCCGTCCTTAACCTTACTTAACCTTGAATTACATTCGTGATAATTTTGTACTTGTGTATTTGTAATTGATGTTATACATTCTGGAGATAGCTGGCCCACAGTAATGTGCAGTTCATATCAAAATTACATCTTTGGTTAATGGGTATCCGTTTAAGGAAAACATACATATATGTATATATAATGGTGAATCCTGGTCTAGAAGCCAGGTCGTGCGGAAATGAAATATTATTAAATCCCATGAGCAATCGCACCATATTGCTTAGGTATTTCAGTATTATATTAATAGTAATAAACACAGCAACAGTAGAATATGCCATGTTTTGCTATAGTAAACCATGTTTTATGTTCCTCGAGTTGTAGTGGTCTGGCTGTGCACTAACATATATACGTATTTATATGAAGAATTTCAGTAAGAAATAATTCTGAAACTGCTCATTACATCGTTTGGAATATTATGCACTCAACATTTATAAGTACTTACAATATCCTGTGTCCTATAAGAAGCGTTGTGAGGCAGTGTGTGTATGTGATGATACTGTGGCTAAGAAGACGAAGCTACCTACTCATAGCCATAGCAACCAACATGTGGCTGTCTGATGTCTGCTCTTAGGGCGCCACAGGAATAAAGATATGTCAAAAAAACCATCTAGAATAATCGATAGCAGGGAGAAGTGCTGCCATGGTAACCGTGACGTCACGGCGAAGCTATACTTGGAAGACCATGTCAGTTACTTCTTGAATGGTGGTCAGAGCAGTCATGTATGTTTCCACAGTCTGCTTTCTTAATTCTAACGTAGTTTGAGAAGTTATTAAATAAGAACAGGTTCTCGAGCAGAATTGAATGGTCTAGCGTTTGTAACAATGACTGGAGCTTAATCCAAACGCCTTCCAATCCAAGTCGACTAGATTTAATGTATTTAATGTAATTTTTTGAGGGGTATTTGTGGGAGTTTCTTCATACCGGCAAGCTAGTAATAGATCATTTTTATCATTTGTGCGTAGGACCAAAGCACGTAAATGTAGAGACGATCCCAAACTTTCAGGTCGTGCTGTTGGTCTTTTTTCTTCACGCATGCGTGGGATCGGAATGGCCCATTTTTGACAAATGTGCTGTGTGACAATGTATTTTCAGCCATTTTGGCATTCACGCATATGACGTCATATACCGTTAAACCTTTCGCAGAATTCTGTTTTATTTGCGCTTACTGGATTAATTTAAAACCGAACGTAATGTAAAATGAAGTCAAGAAAAGAAAGCTAAACGTATTGTAACATAATGTAAACAAATCCAACTCAACATAATCCAATGCAATCTAACTGTGCCTAAACACAAAAATATTTGTCATTTATTATAAATAGTAGTTTTAGTAGAATAGATGAAAGATAATGATAAATACATCACACTGGAACCAAGGCATCTTTTTATCTCACGTTTGTTCTGTTTGCAATAAGCCGATGGAGCTTAATGTAAGAACGAATGGTAAATACATCTCTCCCAGTTGTTTGTTCAGTTTAAGAAGTTTGCTGTTGAATTAGATTCTTCGTGCATATGCAGTCTGCAAGATTTCAAATTAATTTTCCTGCTTGTTTGAGATAAAAGTGCGTCCTAATGTCAACAATATTCGTGATAAAGCTCTGTCTGACTGCAGTGTTTGTACGGAAAATAACGTATGCCTCCTAGAATAGTCTACGTACCATGACTTTTCGCAGATTGTTCAATATATTGTCGCTAGATGGCAGGATAGTGTCATCATATGAATATTTATAATGGTAGGTCAGATGGGCCTTGTCTTGAGTAAGACGTCACCATCTTTGTCAAGGTCGTTTACCGATCTAATTTTGTTTTTAGGATAAGGAGTATTTCTTGTTAATGGAAGCATCCAGGAAGTTTCAAAACGGATCTTCGACACTGCTGAAAAAGGGTCTATGTGATTTTAACAGTGAAGTACTTTGACCTTGCTTCCACAGTGTGCATTAAACTCTTAACAAAAACAGAAAAAAGTGTTAAGGCGACTACTGATCAAGACATTTAAGTGTCTGAGTGACGCCAAATTCAAGGCCCTATGAAATATAAAAAGCAATTTGAACTCCGGGTAATAGATTCAGAACACATCACACACACCATACGCTCTTTTCGCGTTGCACGCACACAGCTTTTGGATTTCTCGTTTAAAATTAAATTTGCATGAAATGAAGACAGTTAACAGCACAAATTAAGAATCTAGGCTCATTGTTATGAATAGCTGTACACCCGCTTCATGTTCAGATATCAACAAGTAAAATGCATCCTACTCTGCATTTATGTGGGATATTGCTCTAAGTGTCCTGTTTTTCCCCAGTCTTAACTGTGGTCGGGGCGAGTCTGTGCGATCGAGATACGTTAGAAGTACAAGGCAGGGGGATCAGATAAGGTAGCAAATAAGGAATCCTGTACTGTCCATACTATAAACATTATTTCAAAGCGTAAATACTTGTAGCTCCTCAGTTACATTTACTGTGTTGATAATGTCTTTGGTTTGCATAGTATATACGTGTGGTTTTCTTCTGTTCGCAAGCTAGTGACGTAGGAAAACTTACAGATTCTCCCGGACTACAGCACAGTCTAATTTCTGCATCATTCGACATTTGTTGATGCTTTGTCTAAAGAGTGGTATGGGAAGGAATCGTACGTGAACCTTACTTAAATCGTTCGACTGCTTGTGGGTAGTAAATATTTCTATAGGATTAGATCTCTGTTACGAATTCCTTGATTACGATGTCATCAGACACGAGTGAAAAGTACTTTAAAATCTTAACATTCATGGAAGCCTGCAATATGCAGTAGGAATTTTTTGTTAAATCTACAAGAAATGTGGAAATTCCGTGCGAAGCAGACCTTTGTCTTCCGTTGGTTTGCGCATCGTGGTTTTTTTATTCGTGGAAGAATCATCGTGGTAATATCTGTGCTCTTTCGTGGTCTGCCTTGCGCAGGCGCGCGGAGTAATACACAACAGCCTTCATCTGCCAGTCTGTCACAGTAGTAACGTAGATATATCGTGCCACACTGAGTGTATTTCGACTGTATTTTTCGCAGTTTTTAGAGTAGATTGTTGCTCTTGTGTTCAATGACCCTGACAACTTGGACTGAAATGGTGAACTGTAGACATTTGGGTAATATTTACTTTTTTAAAAAATATATATAGGAAGACTAGTTGATATGTAACAACATTTTTTCTTGCTCAGAACTTTGCAGAACATGCAGTCATGCATTCAGAAAACATTGATAATGTGTTAAGCCGATTTATATTTATACTATTTAATTTTAGACTGGTTTACCCTAGCGCAGGGACAAATATTTACCTCTTTGGTGTATCAGCACATCCTTAAAAGAAAACAGGTTACTGAAACAAATTTATTATTGTACATAGTGTACGTTTTAATTGCCCACTGTTGTCACTAGATTTAAAAACATATTATATTTCTCTCTGGGGATGTCTCAAGGATAAATTATTCAACACAGCATGCAATAAAGCAAGATTTGTTTTAATATCCACAGAGATCTTGCAAGATATTCGTCGACACTTCATGTTACAGGAAGGAGGACAAATCGAACACGTTTCACATTGAGGACTGCATTTCTTATGTGTAAAATTGTTTTAAATGTAAAAATAATTAGGTTTGTACAATTTTTTTTTAATTCGGTGACGAAATCAGATGTTTCGATGAATAAATTCACCTGTAACTAAGCTGATACTGAATGTAGAGTAGGATAAAAAATACCTTCACTTCCCCGGATACTTATCTACCTTTATAAAATCCATTAATGGTCTTCTATGAAGATCTTGTGCCGCAACAAAAGAGATAATTTTAAGCCATCGTTACTACGAGAAGCAGTAAAGGTTGCAATTTTATGCAAAATGGCGGAAATTAATCTATAAATTTCGGATGATCGAAGGTAAAGCATGTTATGTGAATTCTCTGGCGTTGGTATAAGTTCATTCAGCGATGTGTTTTGAGATCCAGTATATCGCATTGGCTAAAAATTGTATTTGCTCTTATGGTTTATGGTTTAAAAGGGCCTATAGGGCATTTTTATCTTCCTGTCCAGGTACAATGCGATTTATTTTCTTTCTTTCAGTCACCACTGTATGTCTGATCATTTAAGACTATGTTTTCTCACTAAATGTTGACCGATTTTTTTGTTATAGCATCCTGTCGTGTGTTGACCAATCAAATAATAATGCAATGGGTCCCTCAACACAACTATTCTTAGATTTTACTCAGTCATTAATCATACCGCAACGTGTTTTGATGACAGTGGGATAATTTTTATCTAGTATAATTAACAAATGTTGAGGGATCCATTGTATTTCTCTTAGTTGATGGATTTGTTTGCCTACATTATTATGCTGTTAGTAGGCCTTTTTTGTTTTTGTGCTAGAAAATTGCATTCACGTGTCGTATGTTTTGTTGTTTATTGTCGACTGTTGCATTTTTTAAGCGTGTTAGAAGTTACTGTTGAATTTTTAACTATATTTAGGGGCAGTTGGCGCTTATAATTTCGTCTTGAATGGTGAATATGAACCCTAATTTTGTCCATATATTGCACCTTTTTCAATCCGTGTATTTGATTATTTCTTATCGATATGATTTTGCTAAAGTAGGTAATGGCATTTTCCATGGAGTGTTTTATTTTCAGTGTTTTCACTTTGTCTTTACTTTACCTCAATTAACTTACACACTGTTGAGCACAGTCGTACTGGTGTTGTTGATACAGCCTCTGTCTACTCTACTTATTATTTTATGAAACTTATTTTTCTGAAACTTCACACGAAAAAATATCCCCTTAGATATTATATTTGTATTTAATACGTATTTCTGAAATTCCTTTTTATCCTCATTTTCTTGGAAGTGAGAATCTTTCTAAGGATGCGTGAACATTATGAATTACATATAAATTATTAATATTATTGTTTCATTATGATAATTATCACCTCCATCATATATACCGTATTTCCTTGATTTTAGGAAGCACTTTTTTCACATTTTAAATTTTCTGAAATCGGGGTGCGTCTTACATTCGATGGCGTCTAAGAATCGATATAGCGTCTGTTCTCCTGAAGTCCTGTTATAAAATTAAGGTCGCGTCTAAAATCGAAGCGCCCTAAAATCGAGGAGATCCGGTATTTTAAATTTGTCTACATGTCCCTTTGAAACCACTTACATGAATCGTACTAGCACTTTGTAACCGGTCTCCTCTTTGCCCCCCCGAAGTATTGAATAATGGATTCGTTTCCGCACATCGGAATAGTGTACTTGTTGGTAACTCCAAAATGACAAAGCTGCAGTCAGCCCTCATGAAATTGTTCCTCTTACTTGTATCATCACTGTTACTTCTGGAATATCACATCGTGGGCCAGTTTTGTGTGTAATGTTAGCAGTTTATATTTACGGTTTTCTGGTTAAAAATTTGTTTCATGTTTCCACATATTGTGATGATGTTATGTGGGCAGTAAAATTCTTCTTCCCGTATTTTTTGCAATAACAGTGTCTGCTGTGTGTTTGGTTTAGTCATAGTTGTTATTTCCCTCTTTTATTACATATTTTGTCATTTATTTTGAAGTAATTGTTTTGGTGGAAGCTGTCAATTTTG